ATCTGAAGTGTACCTGGCGTATAAGACGACCCCCCACTTGGAGGCATATTTTTCAGGGCCAAAAAATCGTCTTATACGCCGGCAAATACAGTATACTGACATGCGTATTAGTTGAAAAGTGACAGTTTGGTGCCATCTTATGGTTAAAAAGAAAATACTGTAATGCCTTGACCATTTGCTCTTTTTTCATCAAGTCTGCATCTTAGAAGCATAATATGAAAGAACTTGTTATGTAAGTCTTAGAAAATACATCCTTTTGAGCAATCAATAATATATAGCAAGCCCCAAATAGGTGATTATAGAAAATGTATGCTTCATAGGAAAGATGTGACAGACTTTACATTTAAGCATTATTAGATCAACTGTAAGGAGTTACAGATGAGTATGTTTTCATGTTCCTTTCAAACATTCATCCATATGGTTACATAATAGGATTGCATTAGAATTTATAAGTATCCTACTTGGAACAGATCTGGTGACCCATGAATTAGATAGAGGTGTTAAAATTTAGGGAAACAATTTATTTTAATGCCTCAGTAACTCACCCACATGGGGCTATTGATTTAGTTTTGGGGTTGACAGACTGGTGTGCAGGCCAACTCTGTCTGCTGCCAGATTTATAAAGTTTTATTGAAACTCAGCATGTTCATTATCACTGCTTTCAGGCTACAACAGTGGAGGTGAGTAGTTGCAACACAGACCATATGGCCCACTAAACCTAAAATAATTAACTTTCTAGCCCTTTAGAGAAAAGGTTGCCTACTCATACATTCAAAAAAAGGAAAATAGACCTGTGCGTTGCATTCAGTGGACCAGAAAGGAAGTGGCATCAATTTTCTCTCCCCTCCAATCTCCCAACAGGATGTTCTCTCTGGGATGGATGCACTTGACACCAGATTTGATATCAGTGACTCCCCCGAGTCACCTCCAAGGCTCCTATGTGGAGAAAGTCAGAGTCTAAATCTGTTCTTAGAACATCAACAGAGAGGACATGGCAGCTGTTACCAGTCCCACCTCATCAAGGCTCCCTGTTCTTATAATAGGTGGAGTGTTTTGATTTGTTGTTCCATCTGAGTTGGGCTCCTCAAAACACACACATACACCCCACCCCCCAACCCCCACTCACTAAACTTGTATGGTAGATTCTGCTGCTCTCTGGCCTACCTGACCCCTCCTGCCCTCTTGGATGTGCAAGAGAAGTGGGGGTTTCCCTCTCATTGGCTGTTTCCCCCTAACACAAACACAGAAACAGGTTTAATTTGAGTAGGCTAAATTATTGGATTGTCGGAAAAGACATGATGCATTTTTGCAACGAAAAACAAAAATGCGTCATAAACTTTTCTGACAACCCAATATATCATCTTGCTTAGGGAAGACAAAGTTTAGTAATAGTAGAAACAAAAATACCAGTCTTAGTGAAAAATACACCCTCTAACTCATTTCCTCAGAACAACATTCTAAACCCAAACTTATTTGCCTAGTATTTATCACATTTCTAAGGGAAAAGTTATGACAGTATTTCTTAGTGGATTCCTCTTACAGCGCACTCTGGCTGGCTGACTTAGTGCTTTACAAAATAGATTATGGTTATCTCAATAGGGTCCATTTCTTCTGTTTTTTTTTGTTGTTTTTTGTTTTTTGTTTTTTTAGCTGAGCCATCCTGCTGCCTGTTGGCAGCTCAGCGGCAACTCAGCTCGGGCTGGGCATCGAACCGCTGTTATTCAGAGCTCGTACTCTTGTGCAAGCTCTTAACCAACTGAGCCACTCGGCCGGCCCCTCTTCTGTTTGTTTTTTAAAAACAATTTGCAAAAATCTGAAAACCTGAGGGGCTACAGTATATTTGTGATTGGAAACTTGGGTTTGTGGAGGTCACTATTCCCAGATTTCAACACCAAACCCTCCCCCTCCTGCCCATTTTTACCTGTTTTCCATAGTTTCTTGGGGAAAGACAAGGGGCATTGATTCTAATAGTACAACATACTCATTGGAGTTATTTGTAAATAGAGGAGCCGAGAGGAAAACATTTCATAATCTCAACATGCACAGGCTTTAACCGAGGCTCCAGACATATGTACGGCTGCCCAGCAGATGTCTCCACTTAAGCACCTAAAAGGTATGTCTAACTTAACATGTCCCTGGTTCCCTACTTCCCAACTACACCCCATCCTACGCAAATGACAACTGAATATGAAATCTGAAAACAGAGGGTTCCTGTCTGTATTTTAATGAAGTATAAAATGCTGTATGACAATAGCAATTTTAGCAATAATTTATAGTTCTCACTGGTACATTTACAAACCCCATTTTTCTACAGAGTAATGTTACTAGGTATTTACTCAAAAAGTTTTCACATTAGAGCAAGTTCACCAGCTAATAATAGGTAGATTAATCCACATAACCCCTGTATCATAAAGTATAGTTAATTACTTGGTATTCATGATAGCAAGTACGGAGACACTGTGAAAGTAGACTTCCTGTTTTTCCTGCCAACATCCTTTGATTTATTCTTATGATGTGTACCAGACAGGAAGATACGGGGACAGTAATGCCTAGATAGACACATGGCAGTTCTTCAAGAAGAACCAGCACCTCAGTTAATCCTCCCAAAATTTACGTTTTCCTAATCTTTTATGCTAGTTCACGTAACAGCATAATTTTTTCACAAAGCCAAATGATTCCATCTTACAAATTATCAAAAATCCAATATTGATCCTTGCTGATCAGCTTGTTTTTTTTTTTTGTTTTTTTTTTTTGTTTTTACAAAAACATTCCTAGTTGTTCCCTGAATCCTGATCACAATCGGTTATATTGTGCACAGAAATCTCAAGTGTCTCCAAAGTGGTAATGAGGAAATTGATTCTTAAAATATGTATACATGTATATGTATGTGTCTATGTAAATAAATACATAAATATTGAGAAAGATTTAGCTGTTCTAACCAGGTACCTAAAACGTTATCCAGACTAGTTAGGAATTACGACGATTGCTTGCGCACTACAGCATATTCATGTGCGATTTCTCTCCCTGATAACTGAATCCAGTGTAACTAGCTGGGCACACGTTTCCATGTATATTCTCATCTAGTTCTCCCATTTTCACAGACTGGTGCATCACCTGGTGCAGTCAAGTCTATGAATTTTGAAACATCTTTCCTCAGAATGAGGTTCCTACCTTAGACTTTTTACAGCTGGATGGGCATGAATTTTAGCATTATTCAGACCTGGAAAGAAATGCCAAAACTATTTAACCTGTGTGACTCAGGCAGTTGCTGCTGTAAGTGGGGAGGCATCTTTTTAATACATCTGTTCAAAACAGTATTAATTTTAAATTGGTGCAAGGTACAGAATCATTTTCAGTTGTCTTGACTGAAATGCATCAATGAAAGACATGAAAAATACCAAGTACCCACACATCCATTTCACGAAAAGTATTACGGTCACTATGTTTGGAGTTGGGTACAAGTGAAAGTTTGTCCTTTTACGAATGTGATTTTTCTTTGTCTTGAGGGTGACTGCTTTCCAGGTGCTGCTCTGGGTTCATGCCTTACCAGCCAGCCAAATAACATGCCAGTAACTGTGGAAACCTCACTAAGGGGGAAAACGGTTTGGCCTCCTTAGGGTTATTGGGTAGAACCAGGATATAACCCTGGCAGTTGCAGGACATTTCCAGGAAGTGGTAAGCTCTCTTATTTTTTTCCTATCTTGGAACACGTCCAGGGCTCTTTCAAATTGGGTTTAAAAACAATACAGAAGATTCCTTGATAAGAAAAGGCAGGAAGGGCACAAATACTCACATATGGATAGTTCCTTTTGGTCATTTTTTCATTATCTTCTGAGGTTGAACTTGGCTGCCTATTCACAATCTCTTGCCACTTACCCACTTTTTCCAGTATGGCTTCAGCCTGACAGCTTGGCTGAAGTTGCTTTAATGTTCTCATGTTCTTGTCCTCATCTTAGCCATATTCAATAGTGCTGACCTCCTTTGCCTTTGCAAAATTCTGCCATAAGCTCTGGCAACTACTGGTCTCATGGTGCCTTGATCTTTCTGTTCAGCACTCTCACTTCTTCCCAGATCCTTTGATTTGCTTTTGGTTTTCATGCGTGCATGTAATAATAATGGCTGTCATTTATTGCATGTTAGTGCAGGCACTGTGCTCTGTACTTAAAAAGTACATGTCATTTCATCCTTAGACAATAATTTGAACTATTGGGATCCCCATTTTACAGATAGGGTAAATTGAGGCATAATCATGGATTCATTTATTTTGTGCACAAAGGAAGAAAAGATAATTCTAAGACCTTTCTAGCTATTGAGGTTTCTATCTTCTAATTTGAATTCTTTTTCTCATGGTCAATTATCATAAAATGCCTTTAGTTTATATTTACAGGACACACACACACACACACGGACACACAACTTTGTAAGTCCAGGTATCTCAAAAAAGGCTTGTAAAAATAAAGTTCAAGTATAATTTTATCACAACACTGAATATGATTGGTTACATTGTTTTTTCTCCAACTTCATTTCTAAAATTTATTCATTTTAGCAATCCAGAGTTTTGTTACTTAAACTGCTTTTTGATGACATACGTTTCCAAAGCCTCAGGTGAGATTTCATTAGCTAGAACTCAGTCAGAAAGAGCAAGACCTAAAGACTTGATTAAAAACAGGAAACATTTTACAAATGGAATACGGGATGGAATCCGCTTCAGCCCAGGTGCTCCCGTTGCTTCCTGCACCTCCCCTGAATCACATCTGTCTCTTAAAGCCAAGCTCAAAAGCCAGGCCTGGAAACCCTGATTTGACCTCTCCTCATCCTGGTGACTGCTGTCTCACTGGAGCATTCAGTCTGCACTTGGTAATTTTGCACCGGACAGATTGCTTCATAAAATATTCTCTTATTTCATTGTGTGTTGTCTCTCTAAACAGCTTACACACTATGTCCTGTGAGGGTGAGGAACTAGGTCATATTTCTTTGGTAACCCCCCTCAGATATCCTGTGGAATATTTATGACCTCATTTAATACATACAGGACAGGATACATACCGGGGTAGGTAACTTGCCTGAATTCTCACACAGAGGAAGAGTTAATGCACGTTACTAGATTTTATCCCCTTTACTGCAAGGCTGAGTAATTTCAAGTGAATTGCCCTGATTGCAATGGCTAGAGAAGGGAACCTGATGTTTTATTCTACTGAAGGAGGGCCTTTGCTTGAAAAACTTTTTAATAAAAGAAAAAAATGATTGATATAACTCAGTTGACTTTTAATTAAACTCTGTAGCTCCATACACTCTTCAGTTTGGTGCCTGTCAAACCAGTTATTTGTCAAAGTGGAAGTGGGAATGAATGGCTTTCCATGCAAGATTGATGGTTTTAAAAAGCACAGTTGATGAGTCAGAAAGTAGGACACTTACATTGTTATAATTGGCCCTCAACTCCACGAATGAAGGAAAAGAGATTTTTGATATAACGAAGTCTCACATACTTATAATCCATATTAGATCCACTATTTGCTGGAAAAATACGTATCTACTCAAAAATAGATGCGTATGACTGCTGTTCTTGATTCTTCTGGGAATAACTATTTCTTAGAGACATAAAAACATCCTTACTAAGGAGCCTCATGCACTCTTTCTAAAATAATTAAACAAAAATTTCCTTATTTCAAGAGCTTTTACTTGAAACAGAAGCCAGTGTTTAGGGTTGAAAACTTTAGGAGCAAATGAGATTGTGTTTTCTCTTTTTGTAACTGGCTGAAGCCAGTGAATACTTGGGAGGTGTGTAACATTGGCTGATGCTGTACTTACTCCTCTAAGAGTATGGTACTACTAGGAAGGTGGAGAGAATTATTTACCAGATTTTAGTAACTGAACATAAGCCTGTTCAACCTGGCAGCTTGAAACCACATTTAGGGTTATTACACGTGGAATATACCAGTGAGAAAGGAGAGAAGAAAGGAAGAACACAATTGGTATGAATGCAAATGAAATGAAGTTAAGAATATACTTTCAGATCTTGCCCAAATGTATTCATTCCACTTGCTCTTTTATTTTCAAGTTCTTTATTTGGAACTGGCCAGTACTTTCGCAATTCTGTTGGTATTTGTAATTTTATCTGCCTCTAGTGTGTTCCAGGTATGTCTTTCAGTCTTCTGACTGCAAATCCACAGGAAGAAATACATTTTGCACAACCATCTAATATATAATATACATATCTGATATTTTTCATTAAAAATGCTGGTTATGACTCATTAATTTCACATCCCATTAATGGGTCAAACCTGCAGTATGAGAAATGGCCTAGGTTCCGGTATTGCCGCATATATCCAATAATTTCTTCCTGGTGTTTCCTCCTCCTCAGGAAACAGCTCAGGATTCTGTTTCTTATTTTGTTGGGGCCTTTAGAGTTTCAACTTCTGTTTTAAAACCTGGGGCATATCTAAAGAGCTAATCAACCCAGCCATGGTCTCATTTACTAAGTACTTAAAGGTATATAGTTTTCTGTCTGGTATCCTAACTTCTATCTTCCAAGTCAGACCTTTCACAATAAAGAATGAAGAGGAAACAGTTGTATAAAGATTTTAAAAAAAAAAACGATAACCCAGCTGCTGCTTGAAATAACTGAAAACATAGCTGACTAGTTGCTGCAATTTAGAAAACATAGCTGACTAGTTGCTGCAATTTAAAGGCTATAGACTATTATTAGTAACTTACTGAAATGGAACATGAGAAGTACAAATATGCTTTCAAATGTGTGTAAAGAATACAGAAGTTTCTCAAATCAGGTTGTATTTATTAAAAGAATACAAAATACCTTGGAATCAAAGATTACTTAATTGCAATGTTTATCCCCTAACAGGTTAGTTCTAAAGAAAAAAGATAATCATTTTAAGGTAGGTAGCAGAAAAATTTTAAGTGAGAGCTATATATCTGGTTTCAGACAGTTTATTCAAGCTCCGAGGCCTCAATTTCCTCCACGTTTTCAACCATTAATGGCCCAAATCGATTGCTTCCCTCATACCAACATCTCGTGTTGGAGATGGTTCCCACTCTGTTCTTTGACCAGTTGGTACCTTGTTTCTTTTGCCTTTTTTTTTTTGAATTTAGTTTACCCTTTGGTAGGAATAATTCAGCAGGGGCAAATGACCTTGTGGCATTGAACAGATGTTCATAAAGTTGCTTTGCCTCAGGACACATGCTCAGGAGACTTTCTGCAGAGGTTGACGTTAGAAGTTGTTGGCATAGTCCATGCACCAGGCTTCCGCTGTACAGACTGTTCAATGGGGGAGAGAAGGGTGCTGTTAAAACAGGTTCAGCGCACTGGGACAGCCATGGTTAACATGGCTTCAGCAAATGCACCTAACCGCTGAGAACGCTTCTATAAAATTATTATTAAAATTACTTAGGAATAATCTGTTCCTTGAAGGAAGGAACTGAGTTATTACAAAGATTACTTCTTGGCTGGTGACATTTTTATGAACAGATTAAGTAAGGGAGGCTTGCTGGTTCTGCAACTAGCACCAAGTGGAGGAGGCCTCTTAACACTTCAAAGAAAAGGAATGCTTTTGATAAACTGAACAGGCAGACTGTTGAAATATGAGAAAATTTAATGGTATCATTTGCAAGGTCATTCATTCACTTGGACCAAAAACCTACTTCACAAATATAAGATGGGAGTAACTGGAAGCCACAAATTTAATATATAACTAACTGCCAGAGCTGAATAACTGGTACCTTAGCACTTGATGTAGAACCGTCATTTAATCATTGAAAAAAATCATCATTTAAAAGCCTTGGTAATGCTGAGATGCAAGAACAATCCTACTGAAATCATTATTATGAGAACTGTTTGGTCTTGGTTTTCCTGCTTTGTTTTAAAGGGATTTCTGGTAACTTGAGAGAATCCAATCAAGAATGACCTAAATTATTAAAGGTGTAAGGAATAAAGAATCCATAGGTTTTGACCAATTAATCTTATTTGGTAGAGAGTTCTAGGGTTAGCTTATCTATGAGGCCCGGAGATATATTAACACTATTTACTGCTAGGAAGCTTTTCACCTTGAAACATTTAAAGTCACACCAGCATATTTTGTATGCCTCCATATAACACCCTTTATAAAACAAATATTTGAGTACTTTCTATATGCTGGGCACTGGGGCTACAACAGTACAAAAAATAGACAAGACCCTGCCCTCATAGAGTTTACATTAAAGTGAAGAGAGACAATGCATATATACAATTTCAACTCCGTTTTCTAACCATCACCCTTTTACCTTCTTCATTCACTCCCCCTAGTGCCTTCTGGATGGACAGTCACCAGGATATCCAATCCATTGAGCCTACTGCCTTTTCACTGGCCCGTATCCTACTGCTTACACAGCTTAACCTCCATAATCAGACAGTATAATCACTAACTGGCATACAGGCTGCATCTGCCTTCTTCATACTGGTTGGGCAAAACAAAAGCCCTAGATAAAGTTCACTTAAGCATCACTAGTCATCTCACTAGAATGAAATGTCTCCATGATGTGGAGATTTTTTTAAATGTTTTGTTCAATACACCATAGGCACAGGGTAGGCATTTAATTAATATCTGAAGGAATGAGTGAACAATATGCCAAGTGGTAAAAAACGCAATTACAGAAATACCAAAGAGTAATAGGACTAGAGTGACAGGAAGTAGAAAGTAATAGTTCAGTAAGATGATCAGAAAAAGCTTTTGTAAAGTGATATTTGAACAAATATTGAAAAGAAATGAGGGGACAAGTTATATCCTGACAACTGTTTTTTGGTTTTTTTTTTAACTTTAGAACCAATTTTTAAAAAATTTGATCAAATCATGGAAACTTTGGGAGTATGGAAATAATATTTTTCCTGTTTCCAGCTCTTTAGCTATAATAGTGCTCCAAAACCAATTATACTAAGATTAATTTTTAAAAATAACTTCTGTGCTTTAAATATAAATAAGAGCATTTACTTCTGTGGTGTGCAGCCGTCTGAACTAGTTTCCGCGGTGCTTACCAAGTTAGGTTTGGCTCTGGGAGAGGAGTGGACAGCAGCTGATTGAGATACATCCCCATCTGCAGACAGCTCTGCCACTGACAGAAGACGTGAGCTGTGTCTAAATCCAGTCTCGTACCAGGCCGCGTCTTCATTCTTTGCAATTTTTCATACAACATCTTGGCACCATCCTCTCGCCGCAGATGGTCCTTATCTAGAGAAAGAAACAATCCAAGGGCAGTATTCCCCCAAACACTCTATCAGCTTGTCATTTTCTCCATAGATAAAACTTCCAATTCCATAAAGAAAAAAGGAGTTTAAATAACCAAAATGCTTTACTAGCTCTCTACTATTTTAATGTCAGCGTAAAAGCCTTGCTGTATAAACTGAGATATTATACTGAAATGCCTTTTTAGTGACAACCTAACTTTATTCAACCTCAAATTTTTTTCCCCCCGTAAAATAGTATCTCTTCCACTGGTCTAAACACATCTCATCAAATTCTCCAAATCCTAAATCTCTCTGGAAAACACAAATTACTATGATATATCATTCTTCATTGTTCTCTTCCTCCAGACTTCCTTTTGTGGAGACCCCAAGCTATAGTGCAAAGAAACAGCCTGTGTGTTCAAAGGACATTTTAATTTCTGTTTTAGGGGAGGAAAACTAAAGCATGACTCCCAGAGAATGTGGCAAATCAGCAGCTTCTTCACAGAGGATAAGGGGCAAGAAGCAAAAGCCCTGGGAACGAGGAATGCTGCATGTGTCCAGCCATAGCTCCTGTAGGTTTCTCTGAGCGGGACGCACAAAATAATATCCGGACCAACTTGAAAGTATAAAAAGGAGGCCCACCTTTTACCAATTAGCAAGCAGCAAGGCACTGAGCCTGCCTGGGTGTCGGGTCCACAATTCCTACAAGAAAAGAAACAGACCCTTGACATGCCCCTTCAGTTGGACTCAGGTAAAAACTTAATAGGCTTGTGCTCTGAGAATTTTAACTATATGACTCCATGCGAGGAAATACCCTAAACTTGTGTCTTAACCAGTAGTGGCCCTTAACTTACTAGTTTTGCATTAAGTTGGCTATCATATAACCACAGTCCCTTCTGACAGCTACTCTCACACTTGTCTTGGAGTCTATGCTAGTTCATTCTTTCATTTAACTTATTTTAAAAAAGTAAACTCCAGAGTAGCGTAAGCCAACAGAACTTTGTGCAATGACGGAAATGTCCTATATCAGCCCTGTCCTCTAGCCACATGTAGCTACTGAGCACTTGAAACATAGCTATCATTTTAGATATTACTGTTCTAGAGTGCGTTAACTATTGTACATATTTATGTAAGCTGTCACAGCATTTGTAATTTTTAATGAGAATAATTCCATTAGAGAGCAGAAATGCTCCAATGCATCAACATTTCACCTAATATTTAAATGCAGATGAAACTGCCTCAAAGTATTTCTCAGAAGTTACTATTTCTACCATCACTACTTACGTACTAATTGAAACTTACAATGGAGAAAAAGAAAAGTAAAAAAATAGCACAAGCATGCATGTTGATCGTGGTTGTAGGTATTCCGAAGTTTCACCTTCGGAAATTTTGATTGTTTCTCCAGATGATGTTGCTGCTGTATTGACATCAGGGATAGAGATAGAAAATGTGGAATCCAAAATGCAGCTGGCCTATCCGTCACACTTCATATAGGTTAAAGCATTCGTGCCACAGAGCAGGTGGGATAGGGTGGTATGAGTTCGTTTTCACTATTGTGCCCTTTAAGTCAAACCCTCAGGCACTGAGCCTGGCACATGGGAAGTGCTCAAAATTATTTGCCAATGAATGAAGGACATACTGGTGCCTCCATTTCTAAGGAGTAGATAATCCAAGAATATTTTTTTGTTTGTTTAAACTTTCTATTATATGTAAGTAACATGCAAAAATACACTCCTGGGATTTCTAGGCACCTACCAGGGCTGTTGATCATGGCATGCAAGGGCCCCATCAGCATCCCCAGCAGTAAAGCTTGTAGATGATACAGCTTTGCCTTGGCCTCTGTGCTCTGCAACCAGTAGCAGCTGACAGCAATGGGCAATTTCAACAAAGCAGGGACTGGGTCCAGGATGGTCTGTTTCACCTTCAGCGTTTCTAACAGGAGTAACTGCCGCTTACCCAAGGAGAGCTGAAAATACCAACATCCTGCAAGTTACTTTGGGGAATGTCTTTTTGCTCCCCGTATGAAGAGAACTGAATGAAAATAAAACTGCTGTATCAGTTTCTTATCTTCCTGTGGAAAAAAAATCAGCCACAGTCAAAGCATTTAGAACACTAACAAGGCGCTTAATGAACATGGTTGGCTGAATGGATGTATTGACTACTCCCGCTACACAGCCCTTGCTCTTGTCATTCCATCCTCCATGTAGGCTGATAGGCATCTTCTGTGCATGTCACTTGGAGAGCTTGTTAAAAATTCCATTCTTAGGCTCCACCCCCTAAATTTTGATTTGGTAAATCCAAGGGGAGCCCAGGAATCTGCATTTTAACTTCTGCTTTGAGAAAGAGCTATGCTCAACCACACCCTTACTTGCCAGTGACTATTTAGGCCCCACCTTCTCCACGATGCCATTAAGGGTCACCTCCAGAGGAAACTTAGATTACTCGCACCCTTGTGGCATTATCATACAGCGTTCTATTTGTTTTGGTCCTGTCACATGTCCCTACCCAGCTGAATGTTTTATTGCCTTTGTGTTCTCTCACACAGGGATTGTCCAAGGTGGCTACTCGTAGGTGAGGTATATTCAAGGGAGATAGGAATATTTAAAGACTACGTGCATTGTGCTGGCAACCACATACCATACTCACTTATACTTCATGTTTTAGAGCGTGCACTTCAAATGAAAGGAAGTAAACAGCTATGGGGGCTTTGGGCTTGCTGAAGTAATTTTACCTAATGAATCTTAAGACTTAAGAACCATAAGGAACCTTACAGGTCACATACTTTCACAGATCAGGAAATTAGCACTATTAAAAGGGCACCTTCAAGGGAAATTTACAAACAAACTTTAAGAGAAAAAAATAGTTGTATTTCTGGGCCGGCCGAGTGGCGCGTTGGTTAAGAGCTGGCTTGGGATGCCAGAGGGCCCCGGTTCAGATCCCACATATGAGGGCCAGTGACACTGCCCTCCACAGCTGAGATGCTGAACAACAGCTCGACCTGGAGCTGGGCTGCCGTGGGTCACCGGGACAGCGTAGGCTGCAGTCCCCTGCTGCAGTGGGCTGTTGTAAGCTACCATGTGTAGCCGGCAGCCAGCGTGAGCAGCCAGCAGCCGCCGTAAGTGGCTGTCCAGAGGCTGGCGACTGGTCTGCCTCGCCCAGGAAGAGCGCAATGATGGTGCCAACTTGGGCCAGTGAAGCAACGTCCTCCACAACTAGACTGAAGAACAAAAGGACAGCAACTTGTCTGTTCCCCTTCCCCCAATTCCCCAGCGCTGTTCTCCTCCCCCAATTCCCCAATAAAATCTTAAAAAAAAAAGTTGTATTTCTAGTGTGAATGAAGCCAGCCATCTGAGCTTGACTTCAGAGACATTCTGTCCCTCACTAACTCTGGCCTCAGGCAAGTTTCTGAGCTTTTCTACAGCCAGTCTGATCATCTGTAAAATGAGCATTCTGTTGAGTTACACAAAACGTTTCATGGAACCCACTAGTCCTTAGCCCCTTCCAAAAGGGGAACGACTGTGCTCCCAGCCCTTAGATCTGGCTAGGTTTTATCTCATGTGACAACTCCTTTCCCTTCCCCCCAGGAGGAAGGAAAGCATAAGCCTGCAGACGAAGCTCCACACAGAGGCAGAAGTGCCCAGAGAGAGGCTGGTGTTGGCACTGCCTCACTCCCCAAGAAGGACCCACTTCCGTCTCTTTACGATTAACCTCTCGTTGGTTAACTTAAGTGGCTCTCTGTCCACTGCAGCTAACATGACCAAAATGGAAACTCCACCCTAGGTGGTTAGTGTGGGAACTAAATGGGAGATTGTATCAAATTTATTACAACAGCTGGCACAAAGCAGATGATCAAGTATTATTACCACATCATGTTAAGAAACAAAATGAACAGACACTATCACAAAGTTTCTATATTTTTACCTGCATTTGTCTCTGGAATCACATTTGCACCTGATACTGTTTTAGAATTGTCATGGGCTAATTAGAGCTAACAACATTGAGCTAAATACAGAATTGATTTGCTTATGCCAAGGGAAAACCAAATGATATCACTGCATAGACAGTGAACTAAAATTTCACCCTACTTTGAATACAGGTAAGTGATGAGAACAGTTGTCACGTCCACTTAGCAAGTACAATCAACATGCGATACTCATTGACTCAACTGGATTTTCATGTGGCGGAAACGTGTCCTGATCCCTATGTCACACCATATAGAAACAAATCAATTCTAGATAGATTGTAGATCTAAATGTGAAAGGCAAAAAAATTTTTTTTTCATGACCTTGCAGTAGGCGGTAATTTCTTAAATGGGTCATAAAAGTGATAACCATAAATAATAAAAATTTAAATTGTACTATATTAAGAACTTCTGTTTATCAACACATACTACAATGAAAAGACAATTCACAGAATGAGAGAAGCAATTCACAATACATGTTATCTGACAAAGGACCTGTATATAAAAATAAAAAATGAACAGGAAAATGGGCAAAACACTTTGAACAGAAACTTACATAACAGTATCCAAATGGCCAAAGAACACATGAAAAGATGCTCAAATAGGTCATCAGAGAAATATAAATTAACACCTACTAAGTTGGCTAAAATAATGCCACACAACCATCAGAATAGCTACATTTTTTAAGGATAGAAAACAAGTATCAGCAAGGGTGTAAAGTAAAAGGAATTTTTATAAGCTGCTGGTAGGAATATTAATTGATAAAACCACTTTTACAAGACCATTTGGCATATATCTTCTAAGCTGAACATATGGGTATCCTACAACCCATCAATTCCACTCCATTTTCTATTGCAAGTTATATATGCAATAGAAATGTGTTCATATTTTCACTAATGTGCACTAGAATGTTGATAGCACTATTCGTAATAGCCCAAACTGCAAATTACCTAAATGCCCATCAGCTATAAGATGAAAAACCAACTGTGGAATATTCCCACAATGTAATAGTATACAGTAATGAGAAATGAATGATTTACAGCTACTCACAGTCATATGAAAGAATCTCACAAGCTCAAGTTGAATAAAAGAGGCCAGATGAAAGATTCATACTGTACGATTCAATTTTTATAAAGTATAAAAACAATAAACTATTCAGTGTTGTTAGAGGTCTGAATAGCGATTACAGGGGGTGGGAGGAGTGACTGGAACCATACACTAGGGTGCTGATAATGAGTCTTCATCTGGGTGCTCTTTACATGGAGCTGTCATGTTGGTGAAAATGCATCAAGCTGTATAATTATCTGTGCGCACTGCTATGTGTACATATGCAGAGAGAGATAAGTTGCAAAGAGGCAAGAGGAAACTTTTAGGGGTGATGGAAAACATTTTAATTGCAGGATAGATTCACGAATGTAAACATACATGAAAACCCAAAAGTGCACACTTTAAATATGGGCACTTCATTGTACATCAATGATTTCTCAATAAAGCCATAAAAAAGTTTTCGAAAGCCCTCCAACACAGCACCATTTATGTTATGAGCAGAAATGTAATTTCAGCAAAGCATCATCCTTTAGAATGTTGCTAATTTCAATTTTACTGGTGTGGGTCAAGTTCTAATAAATCCCCTCTGTCTGGAATTTGACCTATGACCAACTTTCTAATTCTGTAACCCTGGAAACATGATAAAGTTTGTCAGCTGTGTTAGCATGATAAAAATGACTCTTGTAAAACTGCATCTAGACTTGAACTATAAATGAACTGTACACATCATATCCTGGGGCTTCTCTGACTGCAGTGACTTGTAATTATTATAGGCATGTCCCTTGCAGAGACCTTGAAAACTATATCTATGAAATTGTTACAAGAAAGATTGGATCCTGTGGGGAAGGAGGCCAAGGAGACTTTCTATTTCTTTAATTGAGATATGATTCACATGTCATATAACTCATCATTTTAAAGTGCCTTTAGTATATTTATAAGCCTGTGCAACGATCACTACTTCCAGAACATTTCATCACCCCAAAAAAGACCCCTTTCCCATTGGCAGTCATTCCCCATTGCCAAGGAGGCTCTTGTACCAACTTGTGAATCTGGTTTCCTCCTGCCTGAGCTGTCACTAATGGGGAGGCTAAAGAGGTGAGTTCCTGGTCAATGGTGTAGGTCAATGGCATTACTGACATTTCGGGCAGGACAATTCTTTGTTGTGGAGAACTGTCCTGTGCATTGTAGGATATTTAGTAGCATCCTTGGCCTCACCCTACTAGATGCCAGTAGCAACCTCCGCCTGCCCCCCTGCCAGTCCCCAACCCCCAGGTAGTGACAATCAAAAGTGTCTTCAGACATTGCCAAATATCGCCCCCCCCCTTGGGGGTGTGTATGAAATCACCCCCAGCAGAGTAGACTGTTGAAAGTTCTCCCACATTAAAGGAAAGCCTGATTCAAACCTGTTTGAAGCTATGGTTGCTGTTCTAAATCTTTAGTTGACTGGCACCAACAGCAGCCTATGAGAGTCTCATGACTCTGAATATTTAGTTGGATTTAAGCAAACCCCCAATGGGCATATTTCAATTGGAAGTCTAAGTTTATCTGCATTTAATTTGTAAATTTAATTTTATTAGCATAAGCAGTTTCATATCTTCGTAATTTATAATTTACTTATGTAATATTATTTATGTAATGTTATAAAACACAAAGTAAACACTAGGATCCATGAGAATGTTTTTTACCTTGGAAAGGTGATTGGTTTGAGTGTTACTCAGGTTTAAGCAACACTGACTCAGGCTGAGTCATGTTTTCAGTATCAAACTAAGCAAATAAATTGAAAGCCTAAAAAAAAAAGTCCTCATCAATAAAAATGAAAAATTAGACCCAAGCGTCAGTATTAATCTTGTTAATTGAAAGCTGGTGCAGTCTGAGATGTTAGTTGTGTCTATGCTCAGTGCCTGTAGGCACACTTATTTTTTTGTTTTTCGTAGCTCAGAATTTCTTCCTTTATCTTTCTTTTTTTTAGCCTCATAACCCCATTCTGTTGATAGCTAGTATCAACAGAGTAGCAGTTAATAACTATCAAGATGACACAGACTACTGAGGTACAGTGGAAATGGCAGATATGGAGCTAAGAGATGTAGGTGTGAGTCCTAGCACTGACACTCCCTGGCAGAGGTATTACACAGTTACCCACTTTGAGCCCTAGTTTTCTCACCTATAAAATGGGAGTAATATGGCAACCAACCTCATTTTGTTATGTTAAGAGAGCTAACATATATAAAAGCATTTTGTAACCTGTAAAGTGCTTTACAAAAATTACATTAATATGACAAACACTTACCTCAGTCAATTTGCTTAAGTCAGAATGATCTTTGGGCAGTGCTACTGCATCAACAATTGATGTTTTGATATTTTTGTTAATCCTTTCCACTTCGCTGAAAGTCTGAGGAGGCAATGAATTCCAGAACATGCTTTCCAGATGTGAAGAAGCATTCAAAAGAAGCCCATAAATGATCTGCCGGATGGGCAGAGATATTCTGTGGGCATTGGGTTGCTGCATGTTTTCTACCTGTGTGTGAAGAAAGGTCCGTCGAAGCACCAAAGCATCGCTGATGAAAGGAGCTAGCTGGCCTTTGGACAAAGCCACTCGTACCCATTCCGGTAAACCTAGATTCAAGGCCTCAGGACAGACATAAGTACCGCACTGAAAGAAATCCTGCAGCTTCACCGGGGACTGATGGTATTCTTCCATGGAACAGCAGAGAAGCTCCTTAACATTTTCTTGATCCTTTCTTGGGAGATATTTCAGAACATTATCTAGTGCTTCAGTAGGGTTAGCAAAGTGAGACAACCAATTCAGAAGTCCCAGAACTCGATGGTGTCTCCTCCCTTTACAACTGGCAGCTCCAGGAGGAAGACGTACTTGACTTAAGAATCTCTCTATCATGGGCAGATTAATATGGTCATTTCCACACAGCACCGCAAAGAGAGGGAGTAGAGCTTTGTTCATATTGCCGAAGTAATGGCAGAGTGCATCAAGGGAAAAGCATTTGACAGGGATATAGTAGTTTTGTGTGCCCTTAATAGTGTTCATGTTTCTCCACTGAAAGCTATTCAATGGGCAAAACCCAGTTTTCAGGTCAAAAATGCAAAAGTCACTATCCGATGATAACACAGGGCAATTCCAATGATTAGCAAGTGTCATAATGTCCCGATCTGCTTCTGAAAAGCACTGGACAAAACATACCTGCAGCTTGATCAAAACCTGGATGAACACTTCCCTGATGAGTAAAGGACAGACATACCCACCCCCACCAATGGAAAGGGAATGGGCCACCTGAATCTTCTCTTTAGCTCGATCCTTCAGAGTCGTAAGCTTTTTATCTGAAATGTCACATCCTCCATCTAACACAACATATGGACATATATTACAAGCAAACAGTGATTCAAAGAACTTTTGTACAACATCTGCAAAAGAATCATAGTCCCCTCCACACCGGAGCTCCAAGTTGGAGTTGAAGCAAAGCCGGTGGAAGAGAGCATAGCCATCAATGATAATTTTTGTGTCTCGCAATTTCAAATCACTAAAGAACTCATTACTGTGATCTTCCACAAAGCTCATTAGTCCTCGGATACCCATGATGACTGTCTGAAGAACTGCCTGTTTAAAACAATAGAACACACTTTAAAATGATGCTTTCTACAAGGGACCAAGTCACTGTTTCAAGCACCATCAAATCAACAGCCAATGTTATGAAGAATTCTTTAAATACAACGTATTAGGTGTCAGAATCTCAATTCTTACCTAAATCCTCAGGCAACACCAACGAGCTGGGTGCTTTTCCCTTCTCTTTTGCTTTCCCTGTGTGTTACAAGGCACAAATTCAATAGTTTCATGGAGTTTGATCTTTGGATACAAACGGAGGTGCTGGTGATTCTAAAGGGAAATCAGTCAAAGTCCATTACTGACACACTAGTATAATGCTTCTGTTGACTTTGACATTGTGAGAATTAATAGTCATCATCTTACAATACAGAATATTTATTTTGTGGGGTCAAAGTAAAAAGTCTTAAGCCATTAAAATATTCTTAATTTCATAATTAATAAATCAGAAAGAACTGGGCTTCAGTTAACTAAAGCGTGTAGGGTCAATGATACGGATCCAGTTTTCTTTTTTGACAATCAGAATCCGGGAACTTCTTTCAGACTTTGGCTTATGGGTCCATTTTAACTGGCATAGTTTTGAGTAAGGAAAGTTTTCATGCTTCGAGAAACCTAACTCGCCAGTTTCACCCTAACCAGAGGCTCTTCTCATCTTGTCTTTGCGTATCAGGCCCAGTTACAAACAATATCCTTCAGTATCTAGCTAACTTAAGTCGCAGGATCAGTATTACTAGTTTCTCCTTCAGCCTCAGGCTCCAACATGGCTCAGCGTGCTACTGTTACAAAATCGTGAGATTTTTTTCAACATGTATGTCAAGCATGGTGGATTTTTTTGCATTAACTTTGATTTTTGAAGATACTGCATTAAAATGTATCTTGATTGCGGCGTTTTGGGGCATCCCCTTGCATTTTGGGCCTGACTCACTTCACCCCAGTCTTGGCCATATCTCAGCACCGTGTCCTGTATAGTCCTTGTTTCTTTAGAAGTCTGTCTTGTAAAGCTTATGCCAGCTGAGACCGTGTCAACTTACCCCAAGCTAATTACAGGACCTTGCACTGAGTAGTTGTTCAACGAATGCGCGCTGGGTAGGAGAAAGGCACACATAAGGTCTGATCTAAGTCTTCAAACACAGACCCTCATACCTCGCGCCACCTGGGCCCTCACAACCCGCCACCTGGCACAACACCTGGCCCACCTGCTCCGTCCTCCCAGAAGGCCAGCCCCTACATTAGAAGCGCTCAGGTGAGCACGGGGAAGCCGGAAGCCCTGGCACCTGAGAGCTCGACCCCAAGAGCGGGGACCGGAAGTCTCTGGGTATGACGTCACTGGGAAGCCCGCATCCATAAAGCCCGTGGCTCCAGACGGCGCCCGGGGTAGTCGCTCCGCCGCGAGGTCGCTAAGGAAGGCTGACACTTACGCTCCGAAATGGCTGCTGTCTGGTTAGGGAAGCAAGGCCCGCCCGGCGTGCTCTCTTTTCCCCGCCCCCTTGACTCCAAGCACATTTCCGCCCCTGTGACAGGCTCTGGGTGGCCGCGCCCGACTTCCCAGCATGCCCGCGCGGTCTCCCTGGCAACAGTGCCCAACATCCGTGGCGAGCAGTGGTCCTGGAGCTCGGAGGGTCCTAGAGGCCTGCTCAAACTACGTCCCGCTTACTGGCGGGACTCAGCAGCCCCTGGCGCCGCTCCTCCGCTCTCGACCCCGGAAGGTATGCGAAAGGCGCTGCTCTGGGCGTGCCGGGCTCCCCGGTGCCGGGAAGGGTGATGGTTTCGGGCTGCTCCGGTGGGGGCCCGCATACCTGAGCCTCCGCCTGCGACCTCCTCGTTTCCCTGGACTCCTGACCTCCCGGATTTGCTCCAGTCTCAGGAGAAGTGTTGCCAGTGCCCCCTCGATACATGTTAACCCGCTTTGTGAACATGTAAATTTGGAAAAAAAGTTGAGTCAAGGAGTTGTTCGTTTTGCCTGAAGGTTAAGGTTTACTTTTAAGGTTAAATTTAAGCTTGAGCAGAGAGTCTAGTGTCAAATCTACTTCCTCTCATTTATCGTTACCGGGGAAGAGAACTACATTGGCTCCAACCTGTGATCAACACTCTTTCCCCTTGTCTTTTGTCCCCATTCAGCTCAGCTTCACCTCCAAGGGTCAGTTTGCACAGGTAATCTCTCACCTTTCTCACGGTTCCCATCCAGTTTTCTAAATCTTCTCACCGTAATACTTTCCTCCCCTGCCTTGGGCAGCAGTTGGTCTGTTGGAC